AGCAGCCCCGGGTGGCAGGGAGCTCAGGGGCTCAGCCTGCCATCTTGGGCTGCTCCCTCCAGCTCACTGTTCTGCGGATAAGGGTGCTCTAGCATAGGGCTAGCTTTGTGCCCTAGCCAGCTAGGGCAGCATGTACACATATTTACACATACTATCCTGCTGCAGAGTGAATTAGTTTACTCCAGCCTAACAGTGCCATATGTCTAGATACTGAGATGTATACTGTGCAGCTAAATAGTCTTACTGTGCAGTAAACGTCTCCTGTGGATGTGCCCCCTGGATGCTACCGCTGGGGCATTGCTAGCTTCACGTACACCAATGCATCAACGTTCAAAAAACTTACTAAGGCATCCTCCTTGTAAAACATCCCGTTGCTTATTGCAAACTCCTGCACATAATGAAAGCTTTTGGCATTTTGCTAGAGGCTTTCAGGAAGGAAAATAAATAAATAAATAAAGCATGCTGTCAGATTCAGATCTGTGCTGAAAAATGAGATGTTGCACTTTTAAGGAATACTAGGCTAAAGTTTTCTTTGAACAGTAGCAACACATGGCTTTCTATGCCCAGTAGTATACTCAGCAAGCTCAGGGGGGATTGGCCAAACAAGTTTCTTCCACTACAGAGACAGCTCTATTGTTTCAAATCAGGTGGAAAAACAAAGATGGGGACCCCTGGAGACTTTGAGGGCTGCTTTTATCTGATTTACCTGGACAAATCCCTGAGGGCACGTGAACCTGGAATGCAGCAGTCCAACAGGCTCACACCTATTTGTCTTATGCAAAAGGTGTTTGCTCCTCTCAGTACTTACAGTCATTCTGATGCAATAAGATCCACATGTCAGCATATGCCACCGAATGCAAGGCTCCTGTGCCAGGCTGTACATGTACCACTGAACACGTACCAACCACTGTGGTGCAGAAAATTGCCAGACAGGCACTACACATTAGGTCACTCAGGAAGAGAGAATTTGTCTACTATCTTCTGGCGTGAAGGAAATGGCATTTACACTTCTCCATGGGAGGACTCACAGGGCGCAGACAGAAGTTACATTTGTTGTGTGATTGGCCCCTTGAAAGCGCTCTACAGCTGTACTACGACAAACGTGCACAGCTGCAGAGCACTTTAAAAATGCATGAAAAATTCACCGTTATTACATGAGAGTGCAAATGAAAGTGCACTGAAGCGGAGCACCTTCATTAAATTCTCCCAGATTGGGGCTGGGCAGCATCAGCAGCCAACCCCCTTGGTGCTGTCTGTATGATGGGAGGGAACAGGACGGAGGGGAGGGAGCTCAGGCTAGGGTTTGCCCAGCCTGTGTTGGGCACAGGGCAGGTGGATTAGAGACCTTCACCTTGAGGACAGCTCCAATCCATCCGCCCCCACTCCAGCACAGGCTGGGCAAACCCCAGCCTGAGCTCCCCCCATCCCTTCTCCCCTCTCCCATTATGCACACAGCATGGGAGCTGGGAGGGGGAGTGGGACTAGGGGACAGAAGCTCAAGACATGCAATTCCTTGGTTGAATCAGCTCCAAAGTGAAGCTCAGTCCCCCACCCTCCCAACCCAATAGAGAATGTCTATGAAGCGCCACGAGTTAGACTGGGGAGCTGCATGTCTGTCAGCGCCCACATTGCCGCATGCCTTGCACTGCTTGACAAGGTGTCAGCAGTCAGCTACATTAACTGACATTACACATTAATGGCAGGTTTAAGCAGTGGGTCTGACATCATCAGTGCTTAGAGCACACAACTTGAGGATGGCATAGTAGTAGGTACCCCCATATCAAATTAGACCACAGGGCTGTCTGCATCTATGGCAGGATTGAGCAAAATATGGATGCAGTTGCAGTGAGTTCCTCCGGAGCAGCCCAGGCCATGGCACATACCCAGGCATGCAGTGTGACTGGGGCAGCATGGCTGTTAGACTCCATTTCCCAGCAGCCCCGATGGCTTCTTCCCACTGCTGCTGCCACCAGACCCAGCCGTGCTGCCCAGGCAACCCAGCCCATCTGCTCTGTACCCACTGCTAGTGGCAGGGCATTCAGCCCAGCAGCTGGAACGGGGCAGCAGGGAGTGGTGTTGGGGGGTGGGATGGATGGGAGATCTATCTGCAGAAGTTGCAGGTCTTTCTGCAAGGGAGAGTAGGATGGGATTGCTCTCTTTTTCTTTCCTCTGTTCTTTCTTCTCTACTTTGAAGGCAAGACACTTTACCGCAAAAAAAGCTGACATGTTTGAGGTTGTGGTGTCTCTGGAGTTGGTTACCAGCCCGCTCCACCCAGCTCTTGATGCTGGCATCAGTTTTCTTGAGGTATGATTTCAATGTGTCCTTGCAGGGATTCCTCTGGCTGCTGAGAGATCTCAGGCCGTAACTAAGCTGGGAGTAGAAGAGGGGGGTCAAGAGTCAGGCATATGCACACAATATCTGGTCCAGCTGATGCTTGAGGATCACTGACTCCATGTTGGTAATGTTGGCTTTACCAAGGATGCTGGCATTTGTGTTGCCATCGTCCTATTTGATGTAGAGGATTTTCTGGAGGCATTGTTGGTGACACCTCTCCAGGCTCTTGAGCTGACAACAGTAGGTCACCCATGTTTTGGTCGGTAGAGGACGATGACTGTGGTGGAGACCTGGATCTTGGTGTACTTCCAGAGATTGCAACCAATAAAACATGCTGAAGCAATTTTCCAATGGAGGCACTTGTGCAAACAGATCCTGTGCTGGATCTCCTCATCAACATTTAGTCTCTGAGAAAAGTGACTACCAAGGTAAGAGAAGTGCTCAACTACCTCCAGATTCTTTTCCTCAACAGTAATTTGAGGAAGAGGATCATATTCATGGCCTGGAGCAGGCTGACAGAGCACTTTAGTCTTCTTGATGTTAAGAGAGCGGCCCAAAGTTCAATAGACTTCTGCAAAGAGATCCAGCGCAGTCTGGAGGTTTTCCTCAGTGTGCGCAAGAATGGCACAGTCACTGTATTAAGGTCAAGGATGGCTGTTTTGAATTCTTTGGTCTTCGAACAAAAATGTCCCTGTGTGAAGAGCCACCCATCTATTCAGTATTCAATGTCAATGCTGTATGGGAGGCAGTCGTTAACGAGAACCACAATGACGGTCAAAAAAAATGGAGAACAGAATTAGGGTGATGGCACATCCTTGCTTGACCCAAGTTCAGATGACAAATGGCTCTGTCTCCAATCTGCTACAAAGAATAGTTACAGTCATCTGGTCATGGAGAAGCCTCAGGACCTTGATGTTTTTTAGGGCAGCCACATCTGGCCAGTACCTTCCACAAGGCTTTGCATTTGATGGCCTCAAAGACCTTAGTGAGGCCAATGAAGTTCATATACAGGTCCTGATAATGTTCCTGACACTTCTTGGACCTAGTGGGCAACAAAGATCATGTTGATTGCCCCACAGGATGGTTCAAAACCATATTGAGATTCTTGCAGGACTTCCTATGCAAGAGGTTCCTACAGTATGGGAAGATGTGGGTAGGGATTTTCCCTGCTGTTGAAAGGAGGACGATACCTCAATAGTTCCCGCGCACAGATGTACCTCTTTTCTTGAAGATATTTATAAAGTCGGTGTTCCTCAGGTCCCCAGGAATATCTCCATTGTTCCAAATTCAAAGAATAAATTTTTGAAGACTCAGTTCCTTACTGCCAGCCTTGAAGATTTCAGCAGGTATGCCATCTGGTCCAGTAACCTGGTTGTTCTTGGTTTCTTTGATGGCATACCAGACTTCATCTAGGAGGGTTGGCTAGGGACTCCCTTTCAGGGTGTTTGGGAATGGGCTCAATGGTGGCACCCATCACAATAAACTCATGCTTCAAGAGTGCCTGAAAGTGCTCTTTCCATCTAGCTTGGATAGATTAATTGCCTTTGAGAAGCATTGAACCATTCTGCAATCACGGGAAAGTAGTAAATATGGCAGCTTAGACCACAGATGGTTTTCACTGCCTGGAAGAAACTACGCATCATGTCATGTTTGTCAGAATAGAGCTGATAATCCTTGGCTTCATCTAGCCACCACTGGTTTTTGATTTCCTGGATCCTCCTTTGAGCTTTGCTTTGAAGAGCTGATATGTGTCCTTCTTCTTCAAAGATGAGATGTCACCCTGCCAAGCAGAATGAACCCTTCTCTTCTGGTCAAGGAGTGCTTGGATCTTGATGTTGCTCCCATTGAACAAGTCTTGGTGTTGCTGGGTGGTACAGCCAATGGGTTCAGCACAGGCCATAATGGACAGAAGTTTTAAACCCCTTCCAGAATTCCTCAATGTTGCCTTCAGATGTGGGAAGGGCAGAGAGCTTTTTGTGAAGACACCATTGCAGATCCTTACAGACCTTTGGATCTTAAAAAGATCTGATGTTAAAAAACACCTGCATTGCTTTTGGCTGTTTTCGGTGTTTTGGAGCAAGCTAGGTGTTTATAACAGATTTGAAAAGATGATGATCTGCACAGCAGTCATTGGTTCCTTTCATGGCTCATGATACAGACACCCAGCCAATCATGGGCTCTCACAATAACAGAGTTGAGGAAGTGCCAGTGCTTAGAGCATGCGTGTCACCAGGTAGTCTTGTATTAGTCACTCTGTCTGAAGATGGTGTTGTAATGACAATGTGCGTTTGCTCAGGAGAAGCATGCCACTGGAGCTGGCTTTCCTTACTCCTTCCTTCCCAATAATATCACTCCAGAGGTCCGGGTCACACTCAATTCTGGCACTGAAGTCACCCAGGAGAATGATCTAGTCCTCCTTGGGAGTATTAGTCAGAACATGGCCAAGGCTGGAGCAAAGCTGTTCTTTGAGATCGTTGTTAACATCAAGCGTCAAGGTATATGCACTGATGACAGTGGTGTACTGATCATGGCTGAGCTTAAGATGAAGGGTGATAAGACATTCATTAATGCCCATGAGGATCTCCAGAAGATGACTAACAAGTTGATTCTTGATGGCAACAGCAACGCCATCCATGCATCTGTCTGGGGCCAGTTTCCCCTTCCAGAAAAAGTTGCAGCCCCTACCCTATTCCCTCAGCTGACCCTTGGTCCGGTTGTCTTGTCCCACTCAGAGCTGCAATGTTGATGTTGTATCTCACTAGTTCCCTGGAGATGATGACACTTCTACTTTCCAGTCATTCATTATCTTCTTTGTCTATCAAGGCACAAGCTTTCCACGCTGCAAAAATTATTGTCTTCTTATGATGTTTTTGACCACAGAAAGTGTGATCCCGCTAGACGTGGTTATCCATCTGGGAGCAGATAAGACAGTGTAGGTTTAGGGCACCTTTTCTATCTCTCTCCCATGTTGGGTGAGCAGAAGGCATCTTGAATATGTATTCAGGCAGGATACATCACATGACAAAACAAAGGTATCTAAGAGCTGGTCCTGCTGGGGAGAAGCAAATGAAGTGAATCCACGTTGGCCCTACAGAAGGTTACCCAAGATGTATCTGAATGTCACAACTATGACAGCCTTAAGCATGTTTTAACCACAGCTAGTGGAAAAGTTTCCAATGGAACTTTCTTCAGTTGGAAAATATTGTATGAAAACATATCGACTCTGCCAAAATGTGTTGACAAAAAGTTATCAGAATCTTTTCTGAAAGAATGGAAATGCTGGATTTGGGGCAGCTCTATAACTAGCTGCAGGGTAGTTCCCCAAAGCCTAATAATTTTTGACAGGACCCGTAGCGTGGCCCAGTGAGATGCTCCTGGGCCCATTGACCTCCAGAACAGCCAGGATGAGGTGCATCAAGTTCACCAATCGACGCAGCTCACAAAACCAAGGCAGCATTCTGGTTCAACTGACTCTAGAGAAGAGTGGAGGCCCTGATAGACATCCAAATGAAGTCCTCAAATGGAGAGAAACACAGGCGCCGCCTCGTATCACAGATGATCGGTAAGGTCCCTTCCGGTCCTTAACAACTACGAAACTATGAACAATGGCAGAGGTGGAAAGAGAGTGCAGACTTCCTCCCCCTCAGCTCTCCTCTTGGGGTGGAAACATAGATTTGGTGGCTGCATCTTGCTATTCTTGCTCCATCACACCTGCCCACCAACCAGATGCGTCTGTTCCTGATCCTGGCTCTCACCTGCATACACACACACATGCACACATACACACACACACACACATGCACAGATACATATAGATAGTAGGTATATAACAGGCATGAGCTATATAACAGGAATTCCCCCTACTGCGATGGGTGTCCTGTAAGCCAGGAGAGCTCCAAATGCTGAACCGGAGAAAACAAAACCCACCAGCCGAACGCAGCTTATCAATTCTGCAGGTCCCAAGCTGCACAATGCTAAGAGTCGTGCAAAAAAATAAATAAATAAAAAGGATCGTGCAATCGCCAAGCTGTCATGCCAAAATGTATTTGAAGGACCCTGCCAACCTGACAGTTATTGAGAAACAATAAGGCCACAAGCCCGGGCTGCGCGGAGATCCTCGTTACGTTCTGTTCATGTGCTTCATCCCAACAGGAAGTACTTAATAAGAATAATAATATCCTGAAAGGCTAACCCACGGCAGTGTAATTAAAAAGCTTTTCTGTTTCACTTTGAGGGGGGAAAAATGAGGGGGGAAATTAAAATCAGACAGGAAATTCCACGAGAACAAGCTGGCTTATGTCCTAATAACACAGGCCTGTGCCAACTCCTCCAGAAAGCTGGGGAGAGAGGGGGACGTGGGGGGAGAGAAAGCCCTCTAGACTGGCTGAGATCTGAGAACACATTGTAACTCAGTGGCAACAGCGATTCTAAAGGGAGAGAAGGGACACAATCAAATAAAAGGAAGTTTGCTTTTCTACCAAGTCACTGTTATATAATGTAGCCCTTGTATTGCGGAGAGCCTGCTGCAGCTTTGTCAAGACAACACACAGGCCGATAAGCTTGAAGGGTCAGATGGATCTCGGGGCTTGTTCACCCAACAGCTGCTGTGATAGATTTTAAAGGGAAAAAAAACAGTTTCCAACAGCTAGCAAAAAGTCCTCGAGTGCAAGAAGCAAGCGGGGGGAGACCAGATGGCTGTTAAACTCGTGCCTGCATAGATGTGGTTGCAAGTGCTTTGGAGTTAAAAGCAGGAGGGGGGGAAATCGCTATGTCAACACCACCCAAGAAAGATCCCCCCTAACCCCCCTTCCAACACGTCTGTTTTAGAAAAGCGTGCATACGCACTGATATCCCTTGCAAGGGAGAGTCTTTTCCCGTCCTCCCAAGGTCTCATTCTGCTTCCCTAAGCCTGACTTTTCAGGGGCAAAGAGCCCTCCGAGTGCCAGCTGAAGGGCTGGACGCAGCAGCACCTGTGAAAAACCAGGCCAAGGAGACTTACCAATGACTTCCGTGAGATTGGCCTCGAAATGGCAAACTCTTCTGCCGGCGCCCTCCCCTGCGGCTTTCACGTTCAAGTGCCTTTCGTTGCGGGAGTTGCATCTTTTCAAAGCCATTTGGGAAAAGGGTTGTGCGAACCAAGCTAAGAGTGGTGTCACATCTTCCTTGGCTGTATCATACATATGCCATATTATAATATATCATAGATTATACTATACTATAATATATAATATAGTATAATATACTATACTATACATATAATATATAATATATTATAATATACTATACTACTATAATATATAGACAACTATTTATTAGGTGTTTATTTAAGGTGTTTATACGGACTCTGTTACTCGTATAGTCTGTAGACCTCCTGATCTTTCATGTCCTCCCCCCCGCGACATGCTTGCAAGGTAGGAAAATGCTGTTATTCCCATTTTAGCAGATGGGAACGGAGGTCTCAAGACTTGTCCAGGAGAGTCTAGAAGAAAACCCTGGTCTCTGCAGTGGTGCTTTAACCTTTTGCTGTTTAAGTCCATCACTGTAACGGGCAACAACTTTGCAGCGTACTTCTGCACTGCTGTTACGGCACTGATGCCGTACTACGCCGACACTGCAATGCTAAGCTTAGCAAGGCTTATGCAGAAGTGTGTCTTGCCGAGGAATACATCTTCATGGCGATGCCCTTAAGCAGAGCAGAAATTAGTTAGGAGGAAATGTAGAAATGCCATGCGTCAGAGGGACCAGCCCACCCATGCTGAGAGTTTGATTGTAAATCTGAGCAAGTTTTCCATCAGAGTACGTCACCACTGTGCCCCCCACCCCCCAATAGGTGAGGCCAGGGACCAAGGTCTTGAGGGTGGGTGCATTTGGTCACCCCGGGTTGCCCTCACTACATTTTGGGGTTAGGAGCATGAGAGGACAAGACACATCTCTGCCTCATCTGAAAAGATGGGGATATGTTATATTTAGCTGGGAGGGGCAATTAAGTGGCGTTTGTCACCCAGGGGTGTAGGTTGTAGCCGTGCTGGTCTAAGCGCATAGGCAAACAAGGCTCTTTGGGTAAATCTGATATCCTTTATTAGACCAACTCAAATAGTTGGAAACATTCTTCTTGGCAAGCTTTTGGGTATAAATACCCTGAGTTTGTAACCCAGGGAACCAGAAGGAGTAGACCACACAGTCCTTGGATAGCAATACGTGTAGACAAGCACGTCTCTGCTGATACGTCTCAGCTAGGAGAGCTCTGAGGATCATAAATCCAGAGAAAAAGGGCAATTCAGGGGACTCCGGACTGGAGACCATCAGGGTGCTTGCATTATCAGAGGACAGCATTGCCCGTTGCCTGTGAGTTGCTGGGCACCAGAAGCGGTGGCAGCTCATGGCTGCAGGGCCTCTGGCATGGTTGTGTGGCTGCGGGAGTAGCTGTTATCTGCCCCGCTCCCCACCAAGTCACATCCAGCATAGCCACCCTGGTCACCTCGCCTCCCTTATGCTACCGATGGCTCAGTTCAGCTCAGGCCTCCCTGTAGTGATGTTTCCCATTATAACAGCATGCTTCTTAGGATCTCGAGCCTCTCTTACTCCTACAAGCAAGCCCTCATTTCCGAGTGGCGTCCTTAGTTGTATTCCATTGTACTTCTAAGTAATGGGCATACGGCACGTCCAGCATTTACGGGTCGATGTGCGTATGGTGAGTCTGGCTCCCGAATTTTCTTTAAGCGTGCATTTGTGCGCCACCCTGAACAGGAGCGTGGAAAGCCTACGGGAGCACCTCTCAGCAGCGGTCAGAGCGGCCAACGCGGGAACGTATCGGCCTGTTACGAGTCACAAATAGCTTCTCGCTCTTCCACGCCAAGGCTGCGCTTCAACCGTCACGCTGGCATTGCTAGCCTCTCCGACCCAAACCACACAAGCCAGTTTGCTTTCTTTAAGCGCGAAGCACGAGCCTGCTACAGGCACCCAAACAAACCAGAATCAAAGCGGCTTCTATGGGCCAGGGCTTGGGGAAAACACCTCCCTCCGCCAGATGGAAGCTCGCGGCGTTTTTTATTTTGGTTTTACTTGCAAACTGAACCCGTCGGGGCTGGCAACACCCCGCGTGGAATCCGCTTCTCCTTTTGCTCAAATAAATCTCGGGAAGCAAAACAAATAAGTTGGGTGAAAAATATAACTGAAGGCTCCGATATTTATTTCTTTTGCCCCGCATCTAAGCTGCCTTTTGGAGAAGAGTTTCGGGAGTTCTTCCTCCCTCCTGCGCTCGGTCCGAGAAAGCATTGTCAGCCCGTAGAGATGGAGAGGATACTGTGTGTGGCAGCTTTTAAATAAGCGCAAGGCGGTCGGCGTGATCTGAGCAAAGGAGGGATAGGGGGAAGTTATCTGTTTTACCCAGCTGTGTTTTTTGTGCCTGCTAATAACCCCCATGTATCATCCTGCCTCCGTATGAAAATTTTGTGACTGGTGTTAAAAATGGCCCCCGCGCAGTTTGCAGCGCCGTCTCTTTGCAGCTCATGCAAAGTGCTTGTTGTTAGCATGCTGCTTGTGTAATTAGGGTGCTTAAGACTGTAAGGGGTCTTCCAAAGGTCCCGAAGAGTGATTGCAGTTCAGAATAATCACCCACCTGGCTACACGCTGATTTATGGCCTGCTCAGTTAATAGCCCTGCTTAACACAGGAGTTTGTCGAGATTAAGTAATTGCCTTAAACAAAAAGTTTATTATCTTTAAGGCCTAGCTGATGAATGACTGGGTGTTGGAAGAATCATATGAGAGATCATCTGTGATTCCCTCCCACTTAAAAAGATTGTATTAAAAAGACAAGCGTTTGGGTATGGAGCTGAAAAGCTCACAACTTGCACCGAAACATGATCACAGGCACAATTACAAGGAAGAGGCTGCACAGACGGGATGCCGTGCAAGAAACAACAACAGTAATAATGCTCTGCATTTCTCCCAAGGATTACAAATGTGCTTCCCAAACATTAATTAAACCTCACGGTACTCTTGAGGCACAGCACACCCCATCACACAAAAACAAATGGAGGAATAAATCCAAATTTAAACTTTGATTTGTTTTCACTTACCATAAATTAGCATTTCCCATTCGTGGTCCAGCAAATGATACAAGATGCTGTTGTAAAGATAAATAATGCTGGCTTCTCAACTGGTGTTTAAACCTCCTTTTTCTTCAACTACTGAAGTCTTATCGCCATTAGGGAAAACCAGCGGGAAAGAACCAAGATGGGTTCAAAAGCCATCTACCACTGTAGCTATTCATTCAGTATACCGATATAGCCCATGCCATAGCTGAAAGCAAAAGTTTCTTGCATCTTGTCAATAGGAGAATGTTGCAGCCATTTAGTTGAAATGCTCATTTGCATGACAGTAGTTAAACCAATATAGCCCCTTTATTTCAGCTTAGGGGTCAGTTATTTTTGGTTAAATCAAGTCCATTAGGTGCAGCTTTAAGCAAAACCAAAATAACCCTATTGCAAACTAAATGCAGGCATCCACAGAGAGGTTTGCACTCATTTACCTAAATCAGTGTAAAGATCCCTTCTTGAGTTAACGTTCTTGTGTGGCCAAAGCATTAGACGGGAAAATGAGCTTGTTGCGGGGGCTTTTTATTCTTGTTGTTGATCTGGTGCTGGAAAAATATGTGGAACCTAAAAACGGCAGTCTGGTCAACAGAAGCCTTTCCCTTGATTTAAAGAGATTTGGAATCGGATCCGTAAACTCTTTGTATTTTACACAGATCATGGTGTGGTTTAGTAATTTGTTGCTAGGATTTTTTTTTTAAATGTTATTGCCCGTGCATGCACGTATGCGTGTGTGTGTGTGTGTGTGTGTGTGTGTGTGTGAGAGAGAGAGAGCAAGCATGTGCACGTGCATGTGTATCATAGAAGACTGTTCCACTTCTTGTCAGATTTTGCAGCTCATCCTTCACCTACTGCCTGTCTTCAGGAAGGAGAATAAGGAAGCAATTTTTTTCTTAAAAGTTCCTTAAAAAAGAATCTGCCTGAGGCCAGCTGAATGAATCCAGATTAGGATTTTCTATGGCAGCATCCTCCTAGGGTGCAAAGTGCTTAAGAGACTGTTGAGGGTTGCATTTATTCATTTGCTTACCCCACTTGCTGAAAGCAATGCTAGCATCTTCTGCCAGCCGGAGAGCTGCTCCACTGCAGGTTTCAACTGATGCAACCTTCGATGAAGCGCCCCACTATTAATAGCAGGGTGTGGGGAGAATCAGACGTAATGCCAACATGAGAAACCTGACATGAGGGATCCTACAATTTGCAAAGGAGCCGACGCTTTGAGAACTGGACTGTGTTTCCTTTCAGCAAGGAGTGAATAAAATCGGCTGCGTTTGTGTGTTGCAAAATTGCAACTGGTCTGTGTTGCATCCTGGCCCTGCTGTACACAAACCCCTAAAACGGTGATGCTGGATACAGCATCGGAAATGGGAATATCCGCACCTCCTTCTATTTTATTTGCAGTGGCCTCTCCTTGCAGACACAGAGACTGAACTAATAGCACGTGACTTGGATTTTATACGTGCATTTCTGAGGTGTTCAGGGCAGGTCATTCCAGGACTCTGCTCTTGATCCTTGCACTCAACTGCTTCTCAATATGGGCCTTTCAGTTATTTAACCGCTCTATCCCTACCTGCAAAATCAAGGTAATAATGTATCACCATTGATACAGGCAGACAAGGTTCTCTGGGTGAATCTGATCTCTTTTATTAGACCAACTTAAATAGTTGGGGGGAAAAAAATTTTAGCGAGCTATTTGGAAAACATTTTCCAACTATTTAAGTTGGTCTAATAAAAGACATCAGATTCACCCAGA